CCAACGCTGGCAATAGTCTGCTCGAGAGCCTCCCATCCGCCTCCTTCCACCCTGTGGCGAAAGTATCGCTTGTTCCCTGGATGGTCCAAGAAGGCAGCGGCAAAGACGTCCAAGACAGCTTCGAGCAATCCAAATAGACCTTCTTTCTCTTCTTTGGTCCGGCGTTGGGGGTTGTAAAAGCCCGAGTAGGATCTCAGCACGTCGAGGAGCCTGTTAAACCCGTGTAGGTGCCTAAAATCGTCTTGGGGCGGGCTCGGGGGTTCGGTCGCGGCAATGTGCTGTCGAATCTGACGGAGGCTCTTGATGAGCACGGGAAACTCGGGATATCCATTGTTGGTTCGCCGTTGTGTGCTGGACGTGAGTGTATCGAGGAGGCCGCGCAGGATTTCGAGAGCTTTCGAGTTGGCGGCGCTTGACGATCTGGAAGACGCCGAAGTCGACGAGCGATAACGCCTCGACACTTGTAAGGTCGACATGTTTGATTATTGCTACTGGAGCGTTTCCCTCATTCCAAAACGTTCAATCCCAGCACCCATCGAGGGTCCAGGCAACGGTCCAAGCTAGTCGGCATCGAAAGTGGGATGCGGCGTGGGATCGAACGGCAGCTCGCAGCTGAGGGTACCGGTCGGTGGGGGATTCGAGTAGTATGTGTAGTGGATGTGTGGGTGGAGGTTTGAGGTGGTGGAATAGTACAATCTCAAGGTAAGGAAGAAGCCGCAATTCTCGAATATCTTGATAAAAAAAAAAAGTGTGATTCACCTTGAACTTGCTTCGATTTCCCAGTGTTACAGCTACGCGTTATCGCAAAGACGGAGTCGGAGCTGATGCTTGTGAGTGTCAGCCTCGAGCAGTGAAGTGTGGCTTGCACCGCTCTCAGTGGCCGCCTTGTCACGCACAAGCAGGAAGGAACGTCTGACGTGCCGGCCGCGTTGGGAAGGAGTGGGGTAGGAATGGTGGCGGTGCTGCAGCAGCTCAGTCATTGTGGACGGACACCGACACCGCTAAAAGATGATGCAGCTCAGTGAGCTACTCCACTGAAGTAGACCAAACGTCCATGTTCAGCTTGGGGGACCCCGTTACATTGCGCAGAGACGATGGTGACACGCCTTGCCCCCATGCTATTCATGGAAACAGCTCACACTGCGCGAGACGGATGTAAAGCACACAGTGAGAGCGATCTTACTTGGCTTTCTTGGTCTTCATCTTCACATGCGAGGTGACTTGATGTCCTTGTATACGTTGATGACGCCCTTTTGAATAAGAGTTCACGTTGTTTGCTACCTACCTCACTGCCAGAGAGCTCTCAGTACTCCGTATTGCTGCGGGTATCTGCAGTGACATGTTCTACGAAGTACTCCGTACACAGTAAAATGCGAGCCTGGCTCCGAGCTTACTATGTAGCTGAGCTTCAGAAACAAGGTGCGTCTTAGTGCAGATAAACCCTGGCTTATCGCGGCCAAACTGAGATGTGCAGACAAAGATACGGATAGCTTCCGGTTCTAACACTAACAGTGGACTGGGATCATCAGAGTGGACCCCATGAAACATTGTTGCTTCATCCCATTCGGGCACGCTCTCAGATATAGACACCAAGGTATCTCTATAGTCAAGTACCGAATCAATAGAAGATGGATGCTGTGCCCTTTGGTTGGCAGCTCGGACGCCAAGTACCAAACTGACGCGAGTTGTCTTGCTTGCCTAGGATGACGAAGAATACCTACCTACTAGGAGGTAGCCCGCTTGGTGTACATATCCGTACATGAATGCATACTCGCTCTCAACTGCATAATCGCTAAAGGTAGCTGGAGGGTTGAAGAGAACACCCTCACTGGTGCATGAAACCCACCAGCAAAAGCTAGAAAGACCTCAAAGACATAGGAACACGAATCAGTCAACGGCGGCCTATCAGTCTTTCTAGCTCTTTGAGTCAGTGGCCAGCCCTCAGCGCTAGATGGCTATGACAATGCAGGTAAACAAAAGACAGAGAGTCGGTCAACTGCCCATGTGTCATGACTCCGTCGACCGGGATTTGCTTGGGCGATCATCGGCTCAGGCGCTGGCCATCCTTTCGGAGGAGCATTGCTGCATCTGGGAGGAAGCTTAGGCGGCATGCGTGGTTTCAGTCTGCCTCTTCCCCAGCTCTTCGACACCGAGACATGGACAAGCTTGGTGGGTTGTGAAAGCACTGAGAATAGTCGCGAGATATTCTCGCAAGGCGATGATGCTTACCGACATGTTCGCCGAAATGGTGTCGAGCTTCGTTATTGTGTCTACGGTCAACGACACGCGTACCGCATACACCCATATCGAACTGGCGTGAATGGCCCAATTGCCTTTACGGACGGATCAAGATGGTGTGTTGGGTTGCTGTCCTCGCATTGACAGGCGACTCGCAAGCTCGTGGCGTTTTCTTTATACGCAACACACACCGAGACGTTCCTGAGCCGATGGGCGGCGGTTGGTGAACTAAAACAAAAGGCAATTGTCATATTCGGACGAATGTTTCCGCTCTGCTGACCTGCGGGAGTAACGCAAGCCGCCGCCGAAGCCGCCATCCCGCTATTGTCGCCTCCCATAATCACTGAGAGAACCCGGATGAGTCGTTATGAGAGCTAGAGCTTCGGGGCTGGCACAGGTTGGCTCTTCGTACCAAACTACGGCTGGCCTGTCTGGCACGCCGCACGTCTGACTAGCCGTCTCCAGCAGTGTCTTGTCCAACGCCAGACTGCCTCCCGATGACGGGAAGACAGGGGAATGGATAGAGGCACGTGCCAGGCACCACACGGGGACGCTCTCATCTGACCCGTGGGTCAGGCGTCTGGCGACTCTGGCCTAGCTCGGACCAGCATAGCGTTGGTGCTGGGCCTCGTCTCCCCGCCTCCATGTTCCAGTCAGACAGCTTGCCCTTGAACCCGTTCCGCCTAGGAGCTTGCCCTTGAGCAGAGGGTGTGGCAGGGCAGCAGAGGTACCTTGCGGGATAGCTCAAGCATCAAGAACCACCTGAGCGACAACCGCCCGCCAGCATCACCTTGGATCTTTGGGTGCTGGGGGCATGGATTAGACCAACAAAGCAGTCGCCTACTTAGTGGCTCCGGCACCTGGTACCCTCTTCGCCTTGGATTTAATCCCGGGTAGGTCTTATCCACACAAAGACCCAGCTGCGCCGGACACCTTATTACAGTTAATCGCATCATCGTTGAGCAGGTTCCTTACTCAATGTGGCAGCCGGCAGCCCAGCAGGCTAGAAGGAACCGAGACGCCGACCTGCGTCCCGAGGCCAGGCAGGCAATAGCAGATCCGGACAAACACCACGATGCATACTTCGTACTGCCAGCACACGACATGTAGGATTTGGGTCCCTATCCCTCTGAGTGGTCGACCACAAAGCTCAACAAAACGACGAAAGCTTCGAGTGTCGAGATAAGACGGGATGGCAGCGCTTGTTAAGCTTCAGGGTCCTCCGGATAGATCTGCCTCGCCCTCCGCTCTGTGAATCGTCCATTACGCGTTATCGCATGCAGCGTTATGCGGGATATGCGGACTGGGTGGGTGTGCTCTGGTGGGTTGGGAGGGGGAGCTTGGTTGTGGATTAGTAGAAGTGGGTGAAGAATGTCTGAGGAATGCTGATAGCGCGGTACATCTTCTCAACTTGCTCGTGACCAGGGAGCCGGTGCTCCCAAGCTGCGACTGGTTGGTAGGCTGTGCCTCTGTGCTGCTGCCCGGTCGGTGCCTGGCACGTCTGGCATGACATTGGCGCTGTGCTGGCTTGATCGTCCGTTGCTTTGGGGATGCTTGGGATGGTCGATTGAAAGCTGTCAACCGTATGCGTAGGAAGGTTTCCAGGAAATGAGAAAGCACCCTCGTAGCCATGAGCTGGTTGACACTTGTGAGCCATCGGTCGTGAGGAAGAGTGAGACCCCGAGGCTGTTGGACAGGGCGAAGCACGGAGTACATTGCCCCATGCTCTGCTGTGACTGATTGCCTCCGTAACGGCCTTGGCTATTAGGACTCGGTCAGATAGCCTCGGGGGTATGACGTCGCCCTCAGATCTCTGACTCTGGCTCTCAAGGTGCAATAATCAGTCATGCGTGTTTCCTTGTCGGTTGCAACCACGAGAATCCGAAGAATTTTGCTAAGACATGGAAGGAAATGGTGTCTAGAGATTCGGATGAGCGTAAACGGTGAAAGACGATAGAAAAGCAGCATGGCATGGCAGGCACATTGTCGATGGCGGGAAGCTTGAGTGAAGCTTCCCCAACAGACGGAGGCCGGATTGGTTGTGTTCCTGGCGGATGCAGCGTGCCGCCAGAAAGAAAGAGGAGAAGTAGAGGTACCTGAGTAAGTCACTTACTATCGCCCATTTGCACAATCCCATCCCCGTCCTCCGTCCTCTCTCTTTTGAAGCAGCCTCCCGTATCGAACAAGTGACAAGCTGCTCGGGGTAAAGTGGAAAGGTACCTACCCTAAGGTACCTGGTTCCTAGCAGGAACCAGGTACGTACTTGTTGCCTGTAAGCGGGGACTGTCCCAGGGAAACCCCAAACGTGACCCTCCCACCCAGACTGTCCCAGTACCTCCCTTATCGCATTGCCGAGGAAACCCTATCGAGTCATTCCATTGGCTCTCTCGCCATCGCGCTAATCCGGTTTCGGCCCCGTCAGCCACCCTCCAGCTCTTATCTTGGTTGGCTGCGTCACACACTGGCAACACTGGGGCGGCGCAACCATCCTAAGGCCGATACCTCACCTAGAGCTGTGCGCACGCAACCGCTGTCGCTGCCTTCCCTTTATATCTACCCGCTCCCGCTCTCCGACAGCTCCATCGTCTATCTCTCTGCTCCATCTCTCTCCCATCCCTCCCCCTCCTTCATCGACCTTCCATCCTCTCAATCCCATCGAGTATTCGTCTGTCCTTGGCGTCCTTCGCAGCTTCAGTTTCCTTCTCTGTCATCACAACCAGCGTCTCCGGTAGACTCTACTCACCTCCACAACACCGCCCATCATGAGAGGCTTCATCGGTGCTGTGGCCGGCCTGGCCGCTGTTGCCAGCGCTACCCCCTCTCTCTCCATTGAGACTGTCCACGACGGCGCTGCACCCCTTCTTTCTTCCACCAACGCCGAGGCCGTTCCGAACTCATACATCGTCAAGTTCAAGAAGCACGTCTCGGACTCCGGCGCCTCGGACCACCACAACTGGGTCCAGAACATTCACTCCTCCGCTCAGGATGAGCGTCTCGAGTTGCGCAAGCGTGGCCAGGAGCCCATGGTTGACGATGTCTTCCACGGCTTGAAGCACACATACAAGATTGGCAAGGACTTCTTGGGCTACGCCGGTCACTTCGATGATGCCACCATCGAGAAGGTCCGGAGGCACCCTGACGTAAGTCCGACCCTGATACCCTCGTCCCGAGATCCAAGACGCACCCCAAACTCGTGGACCCACCATCACTGCAGTTCACGGCAAGGGCGGTCTTGGCTATCCGACCCTGACGGGCTCGGGCTCTCAAGCTCGGCTCGGCCGCTTTCGGTCTCCCAGCCTCATTTTTTGACACAGCCACTAACATGCTTCTTCACAGGTCGAGTTCATCGAGGTCGACTCCGTTGTCCACACTCAGGTTCCCGTCAAGTCCCAGGTTGAGGACAAGTGTGACGGCGAGCTCGAGAAGCTGGCCCCCTGGGGTCTGGCTCGTGTCTCCCACCGCAAGTCTCTCGGCTTCGGCACATATGACAAGTACCTCTACGCTGAGGATGCCGGTGAAGGTGTGGATGCCTACGTTATCGACACCGGCACCAACGTCGACCACGTCGACTTCGAGGGCCGTGCCAAGTGGGGAAAGACCATTCCCTCTGGTGACCAGGACGCTGACGGCAACGGTCACGGCACTCACTGCTCCGGCACTATTGCTGGCAAGAAGTACGGTGTCGCCAAGAAGGCCAATGTCTACGCCGTCAAGGTTCTCCGCTCCAATGGCTCCGGCACCATGTCCGACGTCGTCAAGGGTGTTGAATGGGCTGCCACTTCCCACACTGAGCAGGTTCAGGCCGCCAAGGATGGCAAGCGCAAGGGCTTCAAGGGCTCCGTCGCCAACATGTCTCTCGGTGGTGGCAAGACCCAGGCTCTCGATGCTGTTGTGAACGCTGCCGTCGATGCTGGTATTCACTTCGCCGTCGCCGCCGGCAACGACAACGCCGATGCCTGCAACTACTCCCCCGCTGCTGCCGAGAAGGCCGTCACCGTCGGTGCCACTGAGCTCGGCGACCGCCGCTCTTACTTCTCCAACTACGGAAAGTGCACTGACATCTTCGCCCCTGGCACCAACATCAAGTCCACCTGGATTGGCAGCAAGTACGCCGTCAACACCATCTCCGGTACCTCCATGGCCTCTCCCCACATTTGCGGTCTCCTGGCCTACTACCTTTCCCTCCAGCCCGCCTCTGACTCCGAGTACTCTGTTGCTCCCATCACCCCCAAGAAGCTCAAAGAGGCTCTCATTGCCGTTGGTACTGTCGGTGCCCTCAGCGACATTCCCCGCGACACCCCCAACGTCCTCGCCTGGAACGGCGGTGGCTGCAACAACTACACTGCCATCGTCAAGGCTGGCGGTTACACTGTCAAGCAGGAGTCCAAGGAGACCACCATCGATGACCTCGAGAAGGCCATTGAGGAGGACTTCGAGGTTCTCTCTGGCAAGGTTGTTAAGGGTGCCAAGAGCGTCGGCACCAAGGCCGAGAAGTTCGCCAAGAAGATCCACAACTTGGTCGATGAGGAGCTTAAGGAGTTCCTCAGGGAGACCTCTTTGTAAGCGTTGTAATAGAGCGCTAGAATGGTCTTTTATTTCCTTTTTCTTTGGGTCCATGAGAGTGTACGCATAGGGTTATTGCGGGATGGGACAGGATGGATGCATCGCTTTTATAGCTACATACAGATCTCATAGCACCACCAATAAGTTTCTTAACTGTAACCATTTCCAACCACGGTGATCTTGATTGTTCAAGTCTGCTAAGTGACCATTGCTGTCCGACCGGCCGTGCCCCAAGAGGGTTGGACAAGTATGAGAAGGCTCAAAGTTTAATGACGTCCATGAGTAAGCCTATCTGTCATGCCGTTGGGGTTGAGGTTGTCAGGTCAAAATAGAATTGAAGTGAGTGTATTCAAGTACAGTAGTGTCACAGAATTCTTGGGGAATTAGTGCCATGGCTGCATGGCTAGCTTCCGTCATCTGAGTCAATCTGGCATTGAGACAATGCATTACAACCGCCTAGTCCTGAATCTCCAGCTAATCTTGGCTTGCCTAACTTTCTGCACCTTGCGCTCGCTGTGCGAAGGGGAAAGAGGGAAGACTGGAATGTGATCCGGTCCCTGCGCGGAAGTAATGGCACAACGGCTGGCTCTTGCCCAAGTGCCATCTCATGCCTGCCCCCCAAAGGCCAAGGGAAGGGATCAGTCAGCGTTTCTCCTTCCTTCGCCTGGACATGACGTGGCTTCCCACCTCTTCTCTTTGAAAGTTCATTCAATCTTGGAGAAGGAGCAGTCATGGAGCTCGCCGTTACACTAACTGCTGGCTGTTGGTGGCCCTGCTCAAGGGACGACGTCCCTCCGCTACATCCTCCATTCAAGCATTCACGGCTCATCATTTGACACTCTCGACGATACTTCTTCATAGTCTCCCAGCTTGCTTTTGGTTAGCCTCAGACCGAGTTTCCGAACGTCGACCGACAAACAGCAGCTTCACTTGAATCTCTCTACTTCCCTTTATTCCTAAGCCGCCTCGAGATTTGGTGACTTCCTTCTGCTAGGCCCTCCTCCTAATACACCCACGCTCACCCTATGCGGCGACATAACAGTACCAAGTCGAGGTCGACTCTGACTCGAAGCAAGTCTACGGCTTCCGTTCGCTCGGCTGTTCAACGATTAGAGCACATTGATCCAGCCACTGCCGAAAGAGATGCTCATATTGCCGCCACCCTATCCTTCTCTCGGGCGAACCACAATGCCGATGTGGACATAGGAATTGAATCTTTGAGGCAATTCCAAAAGCCTTTCAACATGAAGACTTGGTCGGAGAATCCCTCAAGTCAGCTTCCAAGCGAATCGGATCGGCTCAGCTCCAATGCCGGGGGTCTACGCCGGCAGCAGAGTATTCGATTTGTGAAGCAAGGGGCTCGAACCAAGCGAAAGCAAAGTCAAATCAACGATGACTCTTCTGATATAGGGACTGTTTGTCACCGGAGCGTCCTCAAAGATGTTGCCAATCAGCCTGCTAGCCGAACTTGTCGTACTGCCGAGCGTCCATTTGTGAGCACTTATACGACCAACTACATCAATTCTTTACCTCCGAGCGAATCATTCGGGTCTCCAGACGAATGTGCACCTGCTCCAGCATCGTACCGAAGACTGCGCAAGTCACGCTCAATGTTTGCCCCCTTGAATCCGATCGGTCTGCGCCGACCAAGCAAGACATACTTCAGCGAGTCTCCGGAGCAGGAGAATGTACAGCCTGCTTTGGGACGACAGTCTATGCAAGACATGAAGGAGAACAAGCCATCACCGAAGAAGATTCTTGGGCTGAGGAACCCAAAGTCAATGAGCTTTCTCAAAATTCGGGGCGTTCTGGATTCTGACAGACTTGGGAGCCGACAGCAGATCGATTTGGCAGTCCAAGAAGCCGAGGACAGTTTCCGCAAAGACGTCGAGGAACAACGGCAATCGAAACCGCGACCATCGACGATATTCTCGAAAGCAAAGAAAGGTCAGGCGTCTCTGAGTTTACGCCGATCCATGAGAGACTTCAGTGCCGATGTTCAATCGCTTGGCCCGGAAAATGGTTTCGTGATCAATAAGGACGCTTCTCTTCGAAAGAAGGCCCGAAAAGTCTCAAGCAGTCTCAAAAGCAAATTGAAAGATATGTTCCGCCGGAGTAAGAAGGATGATTTGGTTGTGGAAGCTAGCGGGCCTCCTTCAAAGGTTTCGAACGTAGTCCAAGATCTCGTTGGCGTTGACAACGAACAGGACGATGCATACATGGACATTGCGGACCCTGTGTTGTTGGACGAGTGTTCGATCTCACAAGTGCCTTCACGAGTCCCGTCTCTTCACGATGCTTCCCCAACCCAGAAGCTTCACTCGCGAAAAGGAAGCATAGAGAGCATTGGAGGTGAAAGAAAGGCATCAGATGAGAAATCTCGCGTCACCAGTTGGACGAGCTCGGGCACTCATACTCTTAACAGTCAAAGTACTTGGGGCGGGGAGCGGGAGCGTCAGCGGCTGTCCGTCATCAAAGAGATTGGACCACATAAGTCCTCATCTTCTTTCCAGCGACCAGGCCTGGCTGACCGTAACCCATTCAAGTCCGAACCACCACCTCCGCAACAGGATGAACTCGTCCGCCTCGGCCCATCAGTCGATAGCGCCAGAGTCTACTCCGCCCTCATGAAGCGATTGGACGAATGCAAGCAAATAAGTCAACGAGAAGAGCAGCTACGGCATGGTAGTGATGGGAGTACCGGTCTCAATTGGAACGGCAAAGTTGGTTCGTCGACATCTCTCGGCGGCCAGGAACTTGACGAAGCTACGAATCAAGACCTACCAACCATAAGATGTGTTTTACAAGAGGACGACGTTTTCCATGACAGTCCATGGGAGCAAAGATTGAAAACAGTGGTTGAGACCGAAGGCCCTCAGTCGGCTCATGATGAAGCGGTATCCCCATCCGATAGTACAATGCATCATCGCCAGCGTTCGGCTTCTGAGACTACCTTTGAAGCTTACAAGCCTTACTCAAGACCCGTGGCCGGGGTCGAAACAGGCCACTCGCCCTCGAAGCCGTATAATTTGCAGGGCGATAAGACCGCGAATCCACCAAGAGCATTGTCTAATCGCAGTTCGGCTTTCTTTGGCAGCCCGACTTGCCATCTCTTCCGCACCACGAGTCCATATCGCAAGGTCTTGCAAGAGAAGGTCAGATCAGAGTCACAGGCTCCAGTTTCAGATCAGTTACTCTCACCATCAGTTTCAATGCTGAACCTCGACCTTATACCTACAAGGCGTCGCCCGAGTCTCTCTAAGGAAGATTCCCGACTTGCTTACTCTGAAAGTATATACTCTGACGATCTTCTCTCCCCACGTGCATTACCACAAAGTGTCGGGGGACAAACAGAACCAAGAGTGCCACCCCGACACCCCAACCATGTAGTGGCCGGTTCTGATTATCGACAGACACCCTCTATGCCCAACAGTTTGGAGGCTGTTGCGAAGGATCTCAGTCCTAATGCTACACCCGTGATTAACACACATCAAATACGCTACTTGCCAAGTGGCTCTTATACCTATACACCGACAATGCCACAGAGCCGAACGGTCTCAAACGCAAGTTCTGTGGAGTGGAAGACTTGGCTCTCTGCCAATGCGGCGCATACCGACGCTAAGTTGGCCAATACTGGAACTCAGCACCTGACGGAAGTTCGTCACGCAAAGACAAGTATGCCTAGAAGCTTGGGTCATGTGCGTGAGCGCGCAGAGATTGCGGACCCTGAATCTCCAACTTTGTACAGAGCTATGGGCACAGGAAAGGCCAAACTGCAAACGCCACTAAGAGTGACGAGCCACAATCCACGTCAAGTGTCGTCTGCCAGCCGCGTTGAGCTTGGCATAGACGATTCAAAGTTCTCCACACCTTTGAGAGACGAGAACACGATCCCTGAGACGGGCGGACGCGTGGCTAGGCGTCTTCGTGGCATCTACAACCCTCCACCAATTCCGCCCAGAAGCTCTTTGAGGACGACTCCTTCGATGCCGGTTTTGCAGTCTCGTCTTTCTCATAGCAACTTACCCGTTAAAGCCGTAGATCGACAAGCTTCCAAGGTTCGCAGCATGGACGCCATCCCAAAGGCCCAAAATTTCGAGTCCCCCTTCCAGCCCAAGACACGATCTCCGGTCAAATTAGTCAGACGCACCGGAATACAAAAAGGGCTTCAATCGTCTGCTTCCAGCCCAGGGTTGACAATCGAGAAACAATTCGGTCCCATGCTGGCTAGTCATGATGGCGGGTCTCCCAGGGAGAGGCGGGGGTCCGTTCGTCGGCTACTAGACTCCAGCGACTCGCATGATGGTGAGAGATCCGATACCGCGAGCCTTGACTGGAAGGCCGAAGCAGCTGGCAGCCATCACTTGGTTGAGAATTTTCTCAGCAGCAGGCGTCGGCCACCAGTCCATGGGGCGTTCGTATGAGAAGAGACTGTGGGTTTCTCGTAATGGAGACGTATTCGGTTCAGTAAAACGCTTAATGCAAGTCTATTGTCAGACACTTTTATAATTAACGATGACTCGCGGGTATCATAGATGTGTTGTTACAAAGTTCAATGTTAATACATGGTTTTGTTGCGAACGCAAGGCTCTTGTGATGGCATCATGTCACGGACTTCGGAACATCCCCAAAACGATACTGAGCCCACGCGAAGCTGCCTTCCTTCATGGTCCACAGCTGCTTCCCGCGGTCGTCCCCCGCAGCCCCGGCGGCCACGTGAATGGGCATGAGATGATCCATGTACGGATGAGCCTGCTTGGCATCGGGCCGCCTGCAGACCTGAGCCATCTTGTCCTGCCTCTCGGCGACGTTGGAGACCTCGACAGCCTCTTTGAGAGCGTCGTCGAAGCTGACGGCGTACGGCATCGGCCGCGGATCGTTGCTCATGTGGTAGAGATTGTGAACGGACATGCCCGCGCCAATGATAACGACGCCTTCGTCGCGTAGGGCGGAGAGGGCGGCGCCGAGGCGGTAGTGAGCATCCGGGTCCTCTGAGCGGAAGAGCGATGCTTGGACTAGCGGGACCTTGAGGGGGTTTGTGGAAGGGTTGAAGGCTACGTGGAAGCCTGCCCACACGCCGTGGTCTAGGCCGCGGTCTGTCGTGGGCACGCAGGAGATGTTGCTGCCGTGGGAGGCGGAGAGGAGGGAGCAGACGCGGGATGCGAGCTGCGGGGAGCCGGTGTTCGGGTAGGTTGCTGAGTAGTAGTGGAGGGGGAAGCCGGAGAAGTCGTAGATTAGCGGGGCGGGGCCGGGTGCGGCGTTGATTGAGATGGTGGTGGGGGAGGGGGATTGCCAGTGGGCTGAGAAGACTAGGATTGCGGTGGGGGCGAGGGAGGTTATTTCGGCGCCGATGTGTTGGAGGGTTGGGTAGACTGGGTGGGCTTTGTTGTACATTACGTCTGGCTTTGTGGTGTTAGTTTGGTGGTGAGGTTGTATGGTGAGGGTGAGGCATATGGTGAGAGTGAGAGTGAAGTGAGGTGAGGTGATGAGATGAGAGTGAGACGGGGAGGGTTTGCTTACGCCGCCGTGGGAGAAGAAGTAGACTGGCATCCGCGGTTTCTTCATCTTTGGTGAGTCTGTAACCTTAGAGGAAGTTGAGGGTATGAGAGTTGTCGTCACTGATGTGAGGAAGGCGCGGAGAGTCGGTGAGAGAATGTAGGCCGTTAGAGCGACTGTGAGGGATAGGAGGAATAGAGGATTCAGACGAGGCATCTTGAAGCGCAGTCGTTGGTTGGGTAGCTGGCTTCGCGCAGGATGTGTTCGGTTGTTTGAGTGAGCGGCCTGGAGTAGGACGGGAGTCAAGTATATATGAACCCCCGGAGGTCGTTGGGCGGTACCCGACGGGCCGGATGAGGGATGCGGCGCGGGGGTTGAGGAGGGGCCGGATGGCGGGTGATTTTGTTTTCGTCGCGCGCGGCCGGGTCCACTGTTGTCTTAGCGGGCGGGCGGAGTGGGAGGGCCGTTCGAGGTGGGCGATGAACTGAGGTAGGATGCGTCAACGCAGGGCCATTAATAATCATCCTCTTCCATACCTATACAAAGCACATGCTTCAAAGAATACGTAAAAGATAGGAGGTAAGAATAAGAACAACGAAAATAACAGAAATAGTAAGAGCGAGAAATCAATAAGAGCAACAAGACAGTAAGAGCTACCTGGACTGCAGTAGCAAGGGGGTCACTAGGGGAAATAGGAATAATTTGAACAGTGCCCTAGGGATGCCAGGAATAGAGCTAGGGTATTGAGCAGCAAATGATTGTGTCACCCACTTGCGTACCAAAATGCGCCGAGGTGGTCGTGAGATCGTGGCCGGAGGATTACCGGGATTACGGATTAGGGGGTTTAAAAGAGGTATGTTTGGGCCATCTACTGATCTCATGGCCTGATGGAGTGCGAAGCTCGAGGTGTAGAGCAGTCTAAGCTCTAGGGTGAGCTTCGAGCTTCCCCCTGCTCGTCAGTGAGGTGATGGGTGCTGACTGCTATCATTCTATGACTTTGCACCACATCACTACAAGTGAAGAATGCGTTCCAATGGCGCAAAGAATACACAATGACAGAAATCTTCTCGTAGCCTATCAATCCATTCGTCTCACCAGCCAGGAGGTGTTCATCAAGGCCGCAGGTTCAGGTCAAACTGGGCTGGTTGGTGGAGTATCTACCTTACCTAAGTTCAAGCTCAAGAATCAATACACCCGCAGGCCTAAGTAGTACGCCACGACAGGCTACGAGTTCGAGCTCGATTCACAGCAAGTGCACCAGGAGATGTAGCCACACCGGCGGTGAACTCTGTGTTTCCTTCGCATATCTTACGAGTAAGCATCCTTTACCACGAATGGGACAGTGCAAGCTGCATTGGAAAACGGTACCGAGCCCGGATCAGCGCCCCGCATACGCCATCGGAGAAAGGGTAAGAAAAACCCACATCTTAATCGGCCCGCCGCCCGAGCTTTCGCCGCGTCGTCTCTCAGCTCTGTCTGTCCTGTACTGCCCTTGCTTGACACAATCCGCAAATGCTCATCTCGCGAGTAACCGCAACAACCATCCTCCTCGCCCTCCTCGCGCCCTTCACCGCCGCCACACCGCAACAGGAACAACAACAACAACAACAACTAAAGCACCTCGAGCAGCAGGATCCGCTTTCTGAGGCAGAAGAGCTCCACCCCCTGCCACCTCATCACCCGTCTCTCGCAGGCATCGCAGAAGCGCAAGGTCCCAACTTGCTCTCACCCCCTACCACCTACGAAGCTATGTCGTCCTCCGTCGCCCGGACGGCCCCGCTCGTGTTCCCGGCCGCGGGGAAGCACACGGCCACCGTCATCTTCGCTCATGGCCTCGGCGATACGGGCCACGGCTGGGCGAGCGCCGTTGAGAATTGGCGGCGGAGGCAGAGGCTAGACGAGGTCAAGTTTGTGCTGCCTCATGCGCCTCAGATCCCCATTACCTGTGTTAGTTGACACCCTTTTTCGGTTTCTTCAAATGGTTCTTTATGAAAAATGTGGAAGTCGTTGCCGATTACTAACATCATGCACAGAACTGGGGCATGCGCATGCCGGGTTGGTTCGACATTGTAAGTCGCGCTACAATCTTCGACCGCCACCGCCAAAAACAGGCAGAAGCATCATCATCATCATCCCCATCATCGCCCAAGCTAACCACCATCCCCCACCCACAGAAAGTCCTCGACGGCACAGTCGAGGCCCTCCGCGAATCCGAAGACGAACGGGGGATCCTCGCCTCGTCAGAGTACTTCCAGCAGCTCGTTCAGGCCGAGGTGGACGCCGGCATCCCCGCCGAGCGCGTCGTCCTCGGCGGCTTCAGCCAGGGCGGCGCCATGGCTATTTTCTCGGGCCTGACGGGCAAGCACCGCATCGGCGGTATCGTGGGCCTGTCGTGCTGGCTGCTGCTGAGCAACAAGTTTGCCGGGCTGGTCCCCGAGGAGAAGGCGAACCAGGAGACGCCTGTGTGGTTGGGCCACGGCGACGCGGATCCGCTTGTTAGGCCCGAGTTAGGGGCGCTGAGTATGGATGCGTTGAAGGGGCTTGGGTATAAGGTGTCGAGGACGCTTTACCCGTGAGTATTCTCTGTCGCCCTCTCACTTCCTTCTTCATAGGGCCAGGTCACAATTAGGGCGGAATGCTGACATCAATCACAGGGGTATGGGCCACGCCGCTTGCCCTGAGGAGTTGGACGACGTTGAAGCTTTCTTGTTGGAGAGACTCCCGCCTACTCAGAAGTAGGGTGCTGTTGGCAGAGATCTTTTTAGGAGTAGCTGGAAGATGTGTTTATGTATGTAGAAAGAGCACGAGGCAACGGAAGGATAGAGAGAGCCTAGTAGCTAGGGAAGATGGTCTTTTTCGACAGAGGATGTTCGATAGAACCAGTCTTGCTCAAGATAAACAACATGATACATCATTTCCATTACCAAAAGCCTACGTTCACTAAGCCAATCGCTCGATGAAAATGTATGTATACATGGTCCTGTAAAGTGAGAGTGAACGAAATCGATGATGTAGAATAAGTTGCCTCATCTTCGATAGCCTATTTGAGAAGTAGTTTCGTTTCAAATCGCCTCGTGGACCCGTTATGAGAGATGAGAGTGAGATCACACTCAAATGCAATCATGGACAATGCCTCTCATTAAGCAACTCAGTGAGAGGATCGCCTTGCCTCACATTCCTAAGCACACAACATACAGAGACATGCACATAATTACTAAGCTTACCTAACCATGTTGGACTAAGCTAACCAACTTGTGGCAAGCTCGTCAATCCGCCGTTTGGTTGCGCTAGCGTTGTCTCGTCCAAGGGCCGTCGTCTTATCTCACCTTCATTCTTCACTGCGGTGTGTGGTGCTGCAGCAACTGTTCTTTAGTCTTCCCTCCCGCCTGCCGCAAAGCAGGGCATCTTCCAGGGTCACCTGCGGGTCCCCTTTCCCCCCACCCCACCGCCCCCCGAATCACAAGGTCTCCCAGCGCCATGGGCCCCCATGGACATCCAAAAGACGCCAGCCCAGAATGCGCCAGATGCGCCAGATGCCCCAATCCTGAGCCAGCCGGAACCCTCCCAAGTCCCAACGGGTGGTGACCTTGTGCTGTCCGTCCTGGGAAGCTGCAGCTTGCATCTGCATCCAGCAGCAACCCGGGCAGCAGCGGCGGCGTTCGTCTTGCGTTTCTCCAAAAAAAAGATCTCCAACCACAACTTTCCCATTTCTTCCCTCTTTTTTTCTTCATTATCTTCATCGTCCCGGTGGGAGCGCTTCTCATAGCAAGCTGTTAGGTTTCTAATTCTTGATCTTCACCGGGCCCCTTGAGCATGTCACTGTCGGCACTGGCGTTGTGAAGACCACGATAAACAAAACAAAGCCCACAACTCCACGTCCTGTCGCACACATCCCGGCACATAGCAACCCCGAAGCCCCGAGATCTTC